ATCTGGAGAATCACTGCTGGGAAGTGATCGATAAGGACACAGACGAAGCTGTGAAATCGGATGGTTTCGTCAGAATCCAGAAATCAGTGCTAGAAGAATTGGTCGAGAGAGAATCGTTGAATGTCAGAGAAGTGGAATTATTCAAAGCTGTTGATTGCTGGGCTACAAAAGAATGTGAAAAGCAAGGCCTTGCAGCAGAAGGTTCTGTGAAAAGAAGGATCCTTGGTGAACGGATCGTTGAGGCAATTCGTTTCCCTGTGATGGAACACCAGGAATTCGCCGATGTTGTCCTTGACTGTGATATACCAACAAAGAAAGAGTCATTCGTCTTGGTGAAGTATTTTAGCTCTATGCTGAAGGTTCCGATGGGGTTTTCTGAGGGCAGAAGACGTGGTTCTCTTCAACGAATAAAAATGAGCAGGTTTCGATCAATAACAAAAAATATAGGATGGCATTATTTTGTAGGCGAGAGCAATTCAATAGTGGTCTCGGTTGACAAAACGATTAAATTGCATGCAGTGCGTCTATTTGGAAGTGAAAACAATGAATATTCAGTGACACTTAAGGTAACTGATTCCAGTGGTGTTGCTCTGGTAACCAAAACAGGCATGTTTATGTCTCAACTTGTGCAAAGTGAGAGAGGGGACTATCAAGGGTTTGATATCGCCTTTGAGCCTCCAGTTGCTTTACAAGCGGGGATCCAGTATTCTTTGGANTCGTTAAGGCAATTCGTTTCCCTGTGATGGAACTGCAGGAATTCGCCGATGTTGTCCTCGACTGTGATATACTAACAAAAAAAGAGTCATTCGACTTGGTGAAGTATTTTAGCTCTGTGTTGAAGTTTCCGACGGGGTTTTCCGAGGCCACAAGACCTGGTTCTCTTCAACTAATAAAAATGAGCCGGTTTGGATCAATAACAAACGATATAAGATGGCATTATGGTGGAGGCTGGAGAAATTCAATAGTAGTCTCGGTTGACAAAACGATTAAATTGCATGCAGTGCGGCTATTTGGAAGTCAAAACAAAGAATATTTAGTGACACTTAAGGTAACTGATTCCAATGGTGTTACTCTGGCAACCAAATCAGGCATATTTATGTCTAAACTTATACAATGTGAGATAGGGGACTATCAAGGGTTTGATATAGTGTTTGAGACTCCAGTTGCTTTACAAGCGGGCATCCAGTATTCTTTGGAAGCTTCCATCAGTCGCTCAGCCTCCGGGTATGGACAGATTGGCTTTGCTCGTGTAGATCATGCTGGAGTAACGTTTTACTTTGCGAAGAAGGCTGGATCAGATACGACTGTTTCAAAAGGGCAGTTTCCTGAATTAGTATTCACTGTGTGCTAAATATATATCACATTTCCAAGTTTTCTTATTTGAAATTCCCAGTTATTCAATCGAGTGTAATGTGTGAACTGAAAATTTATCCCGGGTTTGTAATACTTATTGCATTTGGCGAGTGCGTATTAGTCTATCACTTAATTATAACCACTTTCGACCTAGTCCAGGCCTAAACAAGAGCAGGTATGGTATCGTCCATTCCGAAAGCCTGGTTACCGATTATGGCATCGACCGAGGGTCTTTGCCTCCAAGCTACTCTGACCTCTACAACCGGTGCTACGTCTGCTCACCTTCTTCTAAGCCTTATCATTATACTGTTCTTTTGTAGCTTATATATAATATGTACATAATGTTATTATGTGTTATTAGTTTTCATATCTATTAACTGAGAAATTTTTCGAAAATGAGAGCCAGATCTGCCTAGCAGAAAGCCTGCTCGTAGGCTGTTCTGTATAAGTCCCCGTTGACACTGAGCCGGAGGAATTTCAAAACGGAGGTTTCAATCTGAAAAATATTCAAATGTTTTCCGTCCATACTACGTGGAAGGAGCTTTAAAACGCAACAATCACAGATCATTTTCGATTAAATAATTGTTTACCTCTCTGATTTGTGATTCCAGCTTCTTGATCGAGGTCTTACATGATTGCAGTTCAACCAAATTCTAACGAGAAAGACATTAAATTGTAAGACATCGGAAGGAAATTTTTATGTTAGACACTTTGGCAGCTAACGAAGAAACGAAGTACGTCTTCTGACAAGATGAACTAATACCAATACAACAAGAGATGTAGAATAGAGCCTACGCCACTAGTTACAACGAAACGAAGTGATAGAGTACCTTGCTTTGTTGATTTTGTAAGTTGTTGTTGATCTTTCTAAGTTGCTCAGCTTCCATCTGCAATGTAATTATCACAGTCATAAATAAAACAAGAAAATTGTCGATATTTTTGTACATCTTTTACGTTGGTTAAATCACATCTGTTCGGCCAATAAAAAACCAAGTTATCCTGGAGGCGGAGACGTCAAAGCAGCCACGTGATGATAGATGCTCGCGCACGAGCTGGCTCACTGATTGGTCGAGAAGTTCTGGGAACCCAACAAAAAGATGGAAAAAGGGTCCCAGTCTGTCCCTGGCNAATTTACTTGAAAACACGTACTGTGCACGCACGATAACTGAAACTTGAACTACTGGCGGGAATATGCCGCCAACACTATCTATATACGTCCACCTGTAAAAACTGATGACGTCATTGCTAAGCAACAAATTGGCGAATCAGGAAGAGTTAAGATTACTCACTTAATTAGAGAAGCCTAGATATAGTGTTCATTACAATCATGACAACATAGTTTTCGAAAAGCTCCGTTTTCAAAATGTTTTCCGCCCACACAAAATGACAAGCCGACGTTTTCAAATTCCTACGGTTTGAAGAGCGTTTTCCGGAAAGCTCCTTTTTGTGACGGATTAGTGTGGACGGTAGGCCTAGCCGTAGATATAAAGCTGCATTTCCAAATTTTTCCGGCGGAGTATGGACGCTGCCTTAACTACATGTACATTCAGAAAAATAAATAATTGTTTACCTCTCTGATTTGTGATTCCAGCTTCTTGATCGTGGTCTTACATGACTGCAGTTCAACCAAATTCTAACGAGAAGGAAATTAAATTGCAGAAAAATTGTTGTAAGACACCGGAAGGAAATTTTGATGTTAGACACTGGCAGCTAATGGAGAAACGAGGTACGTCTTCTAACAAGATGAACTAATACCAATACAACAAGAGATGTAGAATAGAGCCTATGCCACTAGTTACAAAGAAACAAAGGGACAGAGTACCTTGCTTTGTTGATTTTGTAAGTTGTTGTTGATCTTTCTAAGTTGCTCTGCTTCTATCTGCAATGTCATCATCACAGTTATAAATAAACCAAAAAAATTGTTGATATTTTTGTACATCTTTTACGTTGGTTAAATCACATCTGTTCGGCTAATCAAAAACCAAGTTAGCATGTTAGCCACGTGATGATAGATGCACGTGCACGAGCTGGCTCACTGATTGGTCGAGAAGTTCTGGGAACCCAACAAAAAGATGGAAAAAGGGTCCCAGTCTGTCCCTGGCATAGCAAGTACCCCTACTTAAGAAATCTCCACAAATCATTGAGTTGAGAAGCAATTAAAGCGAGCAAGAAAGAACATAAACATCCAGGGACACATGAACACCGTAAATAGTTGGGATGCCGTAGTACTGCAGTAAACACAAGGCACCAGTRAAACAAATTTAACACTGAGGTTAATTATATACCTTTATTGGCCCTAATGAATTCAGCTCTTGTTGAAGATGTTCAACCTTGGACTAATTCAAAAAAGCAAACAAAACAACCACTGAGTGTTAACATAAACATCATCAATGTCAGTAAGATTTACTGCAAGTTGTATTATACGATTGTACAACATCGTTTATCAGCAGATATGCCTTTTCAAGTTTGGGTCAGATTAGTTTGAGCTCATGAAGTTGGCAAATTTACAGCGGACACCCTTGCACCGTCATCATTGGTACATCCTTAATAGCGAGAGTCCAATTTTTGGCTGTGAAGTTTCACATATAACGTATACTCTCTTAAGATTTCCAGTTTCCTTTTAATTTGTAGTACACATTTACATACTTCGACACATAGTCATATAATATAGATCAATCTAGTGTACAAAATAGTGAAAATTCCAAGACTGCAGAATAATTATATCATTCAATACCCCCAATTTTTTCCGTTGTAACGAGAGAAGAACAATAAAAATATTAGTGTGGGACCACATGAAGTGTTCGCAATTCCGTAATAACTGTAGCCCGAAATAGCGTCCGAAATTGCTTCAACACATTTCCTAGTGGTTTCGGCCAGGGATGTAGCTTCTGTCCTCAAAAGCGGGGTGTCCGTAATAGCGGGATGTCCGTAATAGTGGGGTGTCCGTAAAAGCGGGATATCCGTAATAGCGGGGTATCCGTCATAACGGGGTATCCGCAAGGCGAGAGTAGCCTATATTTAACTAGACTTGATGATCTTGTTTTGATTTAGTTGAGAAATTTTGTACAACAAAATTTACCTGTAAGCTTCCTTTCTCAAAAGCAAGTCTGTTCTTTGATTCCATCATGCCCTTCATTGATTCTTCAATTTGGCTTTGACTAACCTGGAAAAAGAAAGTTGTCATAGAGAAACTTCCTGTTTAGCTGCCTTATCAGAGCTAAACTCTAAGTTAATTGAATTTTCACTGCACGATAGCGTATACAATAAACAAAACCTGTTTGTCCTCCAGTGCACAAATTCTTTCTAACAGTTTTTGGTTTTCTTCTTCAAGCAACTTCTTTGATTCTTCAAGACCTTTGATCTCTCCCTGACAAAATATAAGGCAAAGAAGTTGTGAGTGTATGCCTTAACACGATTACTGAATATGACTACCCCTAAGTCAAATGCAATTTTTCTGCTTTACAATGTGAGGATTGAGAACTGTAATCAAAGTGGTAAGGGAGTTCTTTGGGATTCATCATTTTGGCAGATATACATGTGCAAGCAATAAAACTATGTCAAGAATTTTTGGCATAAATCAGGACCATGATTCATTCCCCTCCTTTACCATGCTGTGTATGATTGGGCTAACAGTTTGGTTGATATTCAATACCATGTTCGATATATGGGATGTGATGGGATGGGATGGGATGGGATGGTATAGAGTTAAATGTTATTGTTATGGAATGGGAAAGCATGGGATATGGGTAAACCTGAATATGAAATGATAATATGGTCAAGCCTGGCACTCATAAAAAGAAAAAAAATTCTGACAAGGCAAGATGAAGGTGAGTTGGATGGAATGGAAAGGTAGAGGAAAGGAAGGCATTTTGTATACCTACAGTATAAAAATTACCTAATGAAATGCAAATAGACTATTGATAGTAGATGCTACCTCTGCTTCTCTCAGCTGTCCAACAACTTTATCCCTTTCATTTGAAAAATCACTCACAGCCTGGTTCACCTGCAAAACGTAGATGGACAATACATATGACAAGTAAAGGGTAGGACAAGTAGAGGGCTGAGACTGCAAAATATACAGATATGTAGAAGGGCTAATCCATTGATCAGCTGAGGAAAAAAATTGATCCATTTGTTACTCATATACATGTAGTATGTTAGTATATTGTATATTTAGGTCGTGTTTTATTGGGGTCAACCGTTTCATCTGCAACCGGTTTGATCACTAGATCACTTTTCCATCCTATTTCGGTTGAAAAGCAGTAACTCCTAGATAGTCCTTACGCGAGCTACAATCACGCGACATAATCGCGCAAATGCTTTTTCGACCACTTCAACCTGGTTTGAGGACAGTTGAAAAAGTTGATCTACCAAACCAACCAAAACAGTTTTTCTCCAATAGAACACGTTTTGACAGTTAAGTCAAACTAAACATTAACTGAATGGCAAGTGCAATCACACTAGGGTCACTTTTTAAATTCATGAACACAGTTAAAACATGGGATCATTCTTCACACTGGTAACATACAAGAAAGTAAATGTTTTCTAAACCTTACAGTGACTAGCTACAGTGTACCTCATTCATAATGTGATCATTTTCCTTGGACAAATGTTCCCTCTCTCTTGTCATCTCATCTATCTTGGCTTGAAGATTGAAAACTTCTCGGTCCTAAGAATAGAAAGTATACATTCAAGCACAAAGCTCAAGCATCCATCATTTTAAAAACATGTGATTAACATGATGGACGTTTTTCACTCTAAAAAACAAATCTAAATAACAAGAAATGACAAAAAAAGTGGCATGGCTTTTGTACAATCATGTACTGTAAGTCAGCTAATTAAAATAAGATATCATTTTGTAACATACAAATTCCTGTCTCAGTTTCTCAGTTTTGCCTTTTTCATCCAGTAACTGCTTGTGAAGCTTGTTTATGTCTTCTCTTAAAACAGATCTGGAGCAAAAAAAATGAAAGTTGACACTGACACTATTTACATTGTCTAACACATGAATCAGATATGCATTAAAATGAGATTGAGTATCCAAAATTTGGGTGAGAGCACCTAAGATGTATGAAATGCAGGAAGCAGGGAGAGCTAGGAAGGGTATGGATTAAAAATAACATTAAGACTGTTGCATTAAGTTGATGTTGAGAGCAGCAGCTGATCTGAATGTAGCCAAAACAAATTCAAAGTTAGCCTCTCCATAATGAGACTGACAAGGAGATCTCTCTTCACAAGCTCAATTCTTTGCACATTGGATTAACCTGCTTAGAATGTTTGGATTGGAGGTGACCTATGTTCAACAATTTACAACCTGAAGCAACAGTCGATTAACGATATATACATATATATACATATCATTTATTTCTCCTTGAATTTTAAGTAGCCAAAATTGGCTAATATCTTCGAGAACATTATATAACAAAATACAATATGAAATACTAACAATAAATATGCTAAAAATAATGAAAGAGCAAAACTATGTACATAATAAAACACAGTTGTTTAATTAAAAAAACACTCTTATTCGAATGTGTTTTTAGCCTCGATTTCTGCTGGTCTCTTGAGTTTGGTCTGCTAGCATGGGCTCCTTTCCTGAACAGTGGCTGGTAATCAAGCCTATTCCGTTTTAAGTGGCGTCTTATTAGGGGTCAAATAAAGTTCAAGCCACGCCCACACTGCTCTCCTTTAGGGGTTTAATTGAAATTTTCAGCATCCCCAACCTTTTCATATAGGATTTCCCCTGGTAATGATAGATTATAATTAATGAAATAGACTAATCAGTACTTTTCATTTTCTAGATATTGTTGTTTGTCCTTTTCCCTTGCCACCTCCAGCGCCATCTCATTCCTGTACTTTTCCAGCTCTCTCTCCTGTTCAGCCATGTGGTTATTCCATTGCTCTCGTTCTCGTTGCAGAGCATTCTTATGCTGCGAAATCAACACTCTGTTGTCAGCAGTTGTCGTCTTTAAGGTATCACTGGTTTTGTAGTGTTCTGCAAGAACTTTCTCATGTGCAAGCTGAAATTCCAATCATGAGTAATAATGTCCATCAGATCTCACTATTAATGTGGTTTACTGTTATTATTGGTGGTGGAAGCACCTGCCAAGCATCTCAAACACTAATTATAGCACAATATGTCACACTGTCGTCCCTAAATTCAATCGATAACTTTCAATTGACACTCTCTCATTTAATCTATTAATCAAATAATATTCACTTGGTTTTCAAGACATTGAATTCTCCACCCTCCAGACTGACTTAGCCTGTTCCTGAACAGGAACACAAAGAACAATGACATGACTTTGATGCAAAAAACAAACCACAAGAAAAAAGATTACAAACATTTTATTATTGGGTAAAAAGAGTACCATGCAACTGTCTCTTTTTCGGAAAAAAAAAAATTATCATTGCTCATTGCATGCATGAATGAATGCTTACCTTGAGGTCTTCATGATTTTTTCTTAGCAGTTCAAATTGTTGTCTAAGTTCTCTGTTTTCTTTCTTGAATCTTGTAATATCTGCATCCAGGGCCTGTGAATATTCAATTTTGTACTTATTGTAAATATTACTGGATTTGGGTATTAAAAAATAGTTTAATCTCATTTTCAATATTGTTAATAATGAGTTGCATAGACATTACTTGGCAATAAAACTTACTAACAGATAAATTGTGATCAAAAATAATAACTAATAGCACTATTTTCAATTGATTGCTCTCAATTAAGAAACTGGTATAAAATGCCATTTTGATATGTACAATTTTCCTGCACTTGAAACTAACAGTAACGTTACATAATGTAATTAGAGTAACAGAAAACACACCTTTCTTTCCACTGTTAGTGTAGCTAATTGAGAATCGGAGTTCACTGTTAAAATAAGTTGGAAACATTGGTTACACTTCACCACTGGCAAAGAACATATCAGAAGCTGCCATTTCACTCAAAATTAGACTAGCAATATTTTTTCCAGATTTGATTAAGACCCTCTACACATGTACAGCAACCAGTGGTCTGCAACCCAGTATGACCAATGTGTCAACATCCTAGATGACAACCCACAAGTGAAACACAAGAGAGTTTGCCTACAACCATGGCTTAGAGAAGGA